TCCTATTCCAGCTTCCACAAGTTTCAGTTTGAAAAAGTGACCATTACCAGAAACGCCTATCTTCTCCCTACAACAACAGCACTCTTCTCTCATCTCTGATGCTATTCAAAACAATGTATCAAAAAAGATAAAGTGCCACAACCACAACATGAAGGACTATGTGCTAAAGACCATCCAAAAATCACATCTTCTCCAAGGCAGGGGGAGCAACAGATGTTTTCTGGAAACAAGAATTTTAGGACAAGCTGTGTAGGGATGAAATCTGTGCTTTGAACATTCATCTTTGAAAGTATCACAGCCTACAAAAACTAGATAGACATGCACCCGTTCCTAGCTATTATTTTATTAAAGAGCTTAAACTTACTCAAAAAAGCCCCCATATATTATGGAATCTTTAGTAATTTAGAGCTACAAGAGAAGAGTTTTATCTAAGGAGAACTGGGCCTTGATGCTATTTGTCTGTTATCAAAATGAGGATGGAAAAAGAGCAAGCAAGTGTAAAATGTTTCTTTAAAAAAAAAAAAAAGAGTTAAGCTGGGCAAGAAAGGTACTTTCAGAAAAAAAGGTGGCAATTTTAAGTTCAGCTCTACACTCTGATGATTTCTTTCTTATTTTCTGCCCTGAGATTTTTAATAAGGCAAAGTTTGCACAAGGCTACTGTGCTCTAACGGAATAAATTGCCCAACAGACAAATTTTTGTTTCAGTCAAAACTACAGTTGAAATAGTATTTCAGTTCTACTGTCTCCATAGCTCCTTGTTTATTTCTGTCAAGACAAATATTTTGCTTACTAAAGGAAAAATCATGTCATGATGAACTGTTGTCAGGGAACTAAAATAAAACTTTTCTTTTCAGATCCTATGCGTTAAAAACTGTAGCTGAAAGGAAAGGCTGGAGGAAGGCGTATTTTAACAAATAAAAATTGGAGGAGGAACCTGGCAAAACCTAATTTGTCCTACTAAAAAAAAAATAACACCCCTAACAAAGTCAAATCTTTCAAAGACATAGAGATGTGAAATTTCAACTGTAAAAAATTACTCAAATACTTTGACAGACTGTCTGTTAACTCCATACTCTCATTATCTGTTACATGTTAACACTGTACCTTATTGCCAACAACCAAATACAAACATTTATAGCAAGACAGCAGGATGTATACAATTGACATTGAAACATAAAGTTCATTTCTAAAAGACTGTAAGTTAGAACAATTTTTTTCAGAAAGAGTGTACTTTGAGGAAGAAATTCAGATTCCCAGCTGAAGACAGAAGAAAATTAGAGGATTCCCAGAAAGACAAGATGTTCTTCAGGGGAAAGGGAAATCTATATTGGTTTAGGGGAGGAAATGGATGGGAGACAGGTAACTAAAACAACACACAAGCAACTCAGGCAGATATAAAGGAAACTACTGCTACTACTAACAGTAAAACAAGGGTTAAAAGTATGAAGTCCAACAGCCAACTTACAAAAACTTTGCCGGCACTGGAGATTATACCTGATACCAGCTAATGAAAACCATTCCTTTCTAAACTCTGTCTCCTATTATTTCAGTCGATAAAGATTTTCATGTGCCTTTCAGACTCAGATTGCTTGGTTTTACTATGTTCTGGATCTCCTCCTTCATAAGTTTAGAATACTAAAAGTCATGTGTGTGAGGGGAACAGCAGGCCTGCTGCTTATAAAAAGACAGAACACTTGTGTTTAATAACCATTACTATTCTGTAGCCATGTTTGTGAAGGTGTGGATGATGTGTGGTCTAGCAGTTAGAAAATGCATTCAGAACCCTGTTTTAATTTATGGTTATTTATAACGTATTGCTTTACGTTGAATACAGCTCTGAAAGTTGGACATATGACAGCACTGTCTCGGATTTTAGGCTTTTTTCACCACTTGTAAAACTAGCATTACTTGACCATCTAAAATCCTTCAGAACTATCCTTAAAAAACCCTAGAGACTGATGAACAGCATGCATCTGAACTTAGATTTAATTCAAGAACTCCTTACTGAATTGGTAAAGCTAGTAAAAATTTATTTTTCTAACCTCGGATATTCTCCCAAGAGCAAATTTTATGTTATCATTGTTAAAGAGTTATCTAATTTTATTTTAGGAAAACAGTAGCTTTAAAATTATAACTGAGAGAACACAGCAAATAAAGCCCATGGTCCTGAATTCTACTCCCTGTACCCTATAGTCTCTTGGCTTCAGCTGAATTAAGAAAACCAGCCCTGGAAACCAAATTTGCTTCAGAAGGCTACTTATTCTTATTCTACAGTGCAGTACAAACTTTTACTTCCATTCAGCTAGAAAAGGGAAATTTCCATATAAAAAGATAAAATGTAAAAAGGGAAAGGTAAGACGAAACAGAATATTAAAATGATCCATATAGTAAAGAAAGACCAACTAATCACCCTAACAAGTGAAATCATTTCTGCAATGACATGGTTGCTCTGAAAAAAAAATCCCGTTGAGCTATATAAAAACAAGCTACACAAAGAAAACCAAAAATCCATTTGACATCTCTAACCCTGCCAAGGCATGAATCCAAGTACAAGCACCAACTACTCAGCAATTGAGAGCCAGTTTATACAGGCATTTTATGGTGGGTACACAGAGAACAACAGAATTCGGCTTTCATCATGAGAAATTACACTGTTTATCTTGAGTAAAAATAGAAATCAACAGTTTAGCACTGAAAAAAAATGTAAGGATCTTCACAGGGCACTAGGAAGTCCATCAGGCATCTCAACAGGTTATGTACAACATCTGCCATTAAGAAAGTACCCAAACTATATGCTTGCACTAGCAGGAGTTACTTCTGATCAGTATTTCTGACTGTTACTTCCAATAACACATCAGGCAGTTGTTTCAAACACACAAGTTACACATGTAACAGCCAGCCAAATTCCAGCCTCATATTGGGCTACAAGCAGCACAGCTATCACTTGCCAACACAGCTGTGGATGGTGAGGTCGCACACAAGCATCACAGATCACCCATAAGCTCTTGGCACAGAACCAGAAGCCAATTCCAATCAAGTAAGAGAATTTATACATATTACAGGTATAAAAGCCAGATAAACACAAGCCACACAAGCTCTCAAAAGACAGAGTCACTGCACAGACTCACTGAATACCTGCAGGCCAATGTGCAGAACAAGCAAATTTCACATTAGGGGCTTTTTATTAAACCATCTGGCCCTTAGACTCTTTAGTCTACTGAAATAATGTTTTTTAAATCTTAATTCTGTTCTTGCTTTATAAACTCTATTTGTAATTTATGTTTTATACCTGTCAAATCCACTCACTTTAAAGAGTTAACGTTATCCTTATCATAGCAGTGTTCTGAAGGAGGCAATATATATGCTTCAATAAATAGGAGGAAGAAACCCCATACTTTCTAAAATAGAATAGTCTCAAGAAACACAGTATTTCCATTTTACAGATAGGATGCTAAGACCCATGGAGGCAGCATGACTTGTAGAAGACCGCATCTGTGAAAGGGGCAGGAAATAAGTACAGATCTTTCAAGACCCAAGCCAACACATTAGCCACAGCAATAGTTCTGAAAACAATGCAAGTTGGATTTAAATTAAACTGGTGTGATTACAGCTATATTCCAGTATGTGGATTAATGCGAGAAGCACCTTCACATCTCGGACATGCAAAACCAGAAAAATTCTCTCAACCTTTCCTTCTGGAAAACTACAAAAATGTGACATGCTGCCTTTGAAAAAAACCCATATTCTCACACTACACTTACTATGAACTCGATCAAAAATATTCTTAATAAAACTCTGAGTAGTAGTAACGTGCTCAGATTAAAATCCCTATGACCATGCAAATGATTTCACACTCCTCAGCATTAAATAGGTTTAACAGATCAACTTAGGTTGAGAACAGGTAACTGAACAGATATGCATACAATATAAGTATTCCCCTTGTACCTCCCTGTCTTTCCCCACACTCCCTCAAAGGAAAGAAATCTTTTCCTGTTCTGATCTATTTTTACAGTCTAGTGCATTGGTATTTTGGATTATTTCCAAGGGTATTCTTTACTGGGGCATCACAACTAAATGCCAGATTTCAAAATTATTTTAGCATATTCTCATAGGCTACTTCACAGAACAACACTGAAATAATAAAGGATCTGGCAATTACAGCCTTTTCAAATGCATATACGTTAAAACCTAGTAAACAAACTTAAAGAAAATACCATCCCTAAAGTTCAGATTCTGCTTCTTATTCCCCCACAGGTTACATCAAGTCATTAGCAGCCTGCACTCGACAGAAATCTCTGAAAACAGCAGGCACAGTCAGTTTAAGTCCTTACCTAATCGACAGCTTATTTATTGAGCAGTTAATCAAGAATCAGCTTTTAAACCCGAGAGGCTAATAGGGATCTCCTCTCTCCACATCCCACCGTGGGTATACTCCGACTCCACTCAGGTAGCCGGGAGAGGAAGGTCTGGTCCGTCCTCCCCAGGGATGCAAGCCCAACGCCGCGATCCCCGGCAGGCGCTCGCCCTCGCCCGCTCCCCCCTGCCCGCTCCCCTCCACCGCAGTCCCCGAAAGGCACCGAGCAAGAGCCCCCCTAACAAAGCCGGGCGAAGCGTCTGCCGGGGGACGCGGGGCACAGGAGAACCGAGGCTGGGATTTTATTCGGGGCACGGCGACTTGGCGTTTTTACCTTTCTCCCTGCTTGGTGTTGGAGGGCGGAGGGTGAAGCACAGTCTGGTTCCCTTCCATCTCCACGATGCACTTGGTATTCAGGTCCAGCTCTGCAAGGCGACACGGCGGGGGGCTGTACCCGGGGAGAGAGCACCCCCCTTCTCCTTGCGCGCCAGGGCCGCTCGCCCCCCGCCGGCTCCGCGCGGCGGGACCAGGCTCGCAGGCGTGCCCCTGCGAG